TGGTATGTCTCCGGATCGCAATGAACGTCAGGAAGCAAAATGTGCATGAATCGGTGAGTGGGAAATCAATTTGTTCTGCAAGCTTCCACCCAAACCACAAGGGAAAAAACACACCACCAAACCGCTTAAAAGCACCTTACAGCGCACCCACACGCTCTCCCGGATGCCTCCGTTCAGGAATCCACAGCTACAACACAACAATAATAAAGGAAAACTACAGGCGTCAGACCTGACAGAGGGTCCTCAGGCATCTATAAACACACAGTGGGGCACGCACACCCCCTAGACACCCACAACCCTGCCCTTGACCCCTTGGGGGGATGGCTCCAATGACCCAAGAACCTAGTCCTTTCTCAACAGTAAGCTTTGAGACTTGGACACCAGGAATCAGGAAAAACATGTTTATTCCAAAAAAAAACACCCCAAAACAAAACCAAATAAAAAAGAACAACCCCACCCCCAAGTCGGCAGCTCCTTCCTCGGGCCCCTTACCAAGGACCTGGGAGATGGGTCCAGTATTGAGGAGACGAGTGAGGTCGGGAGGGGAGGCGGCAGAAGCCGTGCAAGATCTTCGGGTTCACCTCCGCTGATCGCCTCCTTTTGGCACGCCACCCCCCCACCCCAGCCCCAGACCGGAACACCCTAGAGGGGCGATGATGGACGCATGCGCACAGGTGTCCCTGTGTGTTTGCTGGGAGGGAGGGCGTAGCTGATAGTCCCAGCTCCGGGAGCATCCAGGGGGAAACTAGGAGGACGTACCCCACTCCCTCCCTCGCCCACTGGAGACCTCTCCCCACTATGGCTTATTTGAGACAAGAGGTCAAGTTCCCGGGGTCAGGCAGCCTGTGGCATGGTGAACAGGGGGTGGAGACTAGAATTGTGAGATCCCCGAAATCCAGGCCAAGAGAAAGCAAGAGGAGAGGAGCTGGAGGCCCCCAGACCAAAAACTCACTGCCACCAGAGGAGGTAAACTCAATTCACGGCCATTGAGCCAGTCCGTTCTGACTCACAGAGACCCTGTAGGGCAGAGTAGAACTGCCCCTGGGTGGTTTCCAGGGCTGTAAGTCTTTAAGGGAGTAGAAAACCCCATCTTTCTCCCATGGAGCAGCTGGGTGGGTTAGAACTGCTGCCCTTGAGGTGAGCAGCCCTGCATGTAATCCACTGGGCCACCAGGGCGCCTTGGGAGATTCTCAGACCTGTTCCAAACCCGGTGTCTTTGGGTCAGTTCTGACTCACAGCACCCTGTAGGGCAGAATAGGTCTGCCCCTGTGGGTTTCCAAGGCTGTCGCCCATTTGGCATCAGGCTACCCCATTGTTCTCAGATTGGCCGCTGGGTTCGAACCAAGGTTGGCAGCCCAGCACTCATCCACTGCCATTGCCAGAGCGGCGCCAAAAGGCCCCCACATTCTGGGGGTGGTGAGCAGCAGGGAGGAGGCTGGGCTGGGGCGCACACAGCTTCGCTCTGGGGAAGTCCGTCAGCCTGGGCTGTGCTGAGCCTGGGAGCCCCTAGAGGGGACAGGGACCCCTTGGGAATGGCTATAAGCATGGGGTTCAAAAACTGACATCAGGGCCCAGATGGGGTGAGGGGGGATACCCCCAGTTCACTGGTGTGTGGCAGAAACTACGGGGCAGTTATCAGCCCCAGTCTCTTGGCAAGAGGGGCTGAGCTGAGGTGCCAGTCTTTGGGGGGGGGGGGACACAAGAGGGAAGGGGACGGCCCAAGGGATGGGAGAAGAGGCGCCCCCCACCGCGCCCTGGGGGCTGGGGAGGGGGCGTGTAGCCCTTTAAGAGTGGGGGAATGGCCGTCCCCACGACATGGCTCTGTACAAAGAGGATTGGGGGCCAATTGTGCATTGGGAGTTGGGGGATCCCCCCAGCCCCTGGAGGCTCCCCAGTGTGTTAGGGAGAGAGATGAAGAAGGGAATGCTTGTCTACCATCTGTGCATGAAGCAATGACAATCCCCCCACCCCCACCCCCTTGCAGATGGCTCGGGCAGTGGCACCGACTCACTAGAACCAGTCCAGTAGACATCAGCCAGGGTCCCCAGGAAGTCATCAGGTGATAACCCGACCGATATGGGCCAGGAGTCTCTGAGGAGTGTTTGGCCCCAGCCAATGGGTGCAGGTGGCAGGAACTGGGCAAGGACCAGGGATGCCATTGTATGGACAGACAGTCTCACCTCTGGTGGTGGTAAGAGGTCTCTGCATTGACCCTGTCACCGATCAGATGGTTGGGTGAGGGGTAGCGATGTTATCAGAAGGGGCCTGGATGTTCTCCGTCAAAGAGGTGCTGGGCTTGGTTCCTCAGGCATCAATCTAAGTCAGGTGTTAGGCTGTGACATCATCCTGAAGGTCCAGAGCAAGGGTGAACCCCTCAGAGGAGCAGCTAGCTGTTCCCGCCCTACTCCACGTTGGGGGGGCTGGTAAAAAAGGGTGTGTTGTGCTGGTTCCCCCGAAGGGAACAACTGTTGGTACCGTGTGACCCAGAAGACAATGGAAACACAGCTGCAGTAGTGCGTGGCCACTAAAGAGATGGGCCTTGGAAGAGGACGAGTTGTGGCTGGGAAGTGGTGTGCTTTTGGCTCTCATGGACCACTGGTGGTGGTAACGCCATGAGTGTAGTGGATCCTGGGAGATATGGACCCCGTAGACTCTCGTGGATCCTGGGAGATACGACATCATGGTTGAAGGGGATCCTGGGAGACATGACACTGGGGTGGAAGGGGATCCTGGGAGACATGACACTGGGGTGGAAGGGGATCCTGGGAGATGAGGACACCTCAGACTCTCATGGATCCTGGCAAACGATGAGACTATCGGTGAGGATCCTGGGATCGTGATGACATGATTGTAGTGGATCCTGAGAGATGATGACATCATTGACTCTCGTGAATCATGTTGGTAGGCCTTCTGGGAGATGATGACATCACTGGCTTTCATGAACTTTGGGAGAGGACACCATAGGTTCTCATGGGTCCCAGCAGATGACACTCAAGTCAAGGATCCTGGGATTGTGATGACATCATGGTTGCGGTGGATCCCGAAAGATGATGACATCGTTGACTCTCAGGAATCATGAAGGATGAAGTAGATTGTGAGTGATAATGACCCCATAGTTGAAGTGGATCCTGGGATGTGCTGACATCATGATTGAAAGAGATCCAAGTGACTCTCTCATGGATCCTGGGATGTGATGGCACCGTGGCGTAAGTGGGTCTTGAGAGATAGTGACATCATTGGCTCATGTGGACCCTAGGAAATGATGACACATTAGCTCCCACAGATCCTGGATTGAAGAGGATTCTGGGAACTAATGACTCATGAGTTCTCAGGGATCCTGAGAGAGGATGGCACCATGATTGTGTCGATCCTGCAAGATCCACACCACAATGATCTGGATTACGGGAAATGGCAGCATCTTGGCCCCAGCGTATCCTGGTAGAAGACGTCACCATTCACCAAAGGGATTTGGGAACTTAAGGATGTCATGACACCATAGGCTGATGGCCATTGGTCACGGAGGATCCTGGGAGAGAACACCAGGGCTGGGGACCTCATGGAAGATGATACCGCTGTCGGCTGTGGGAATCTTGATGCTGACACTAATCGTCACTACCTGCGGGGGGTGAGACCCCATCCCTGTAGAGGAAGATACCATGGTCACAGGGAATCCTGGGGAGAGGGGATGCCCTCCTCAGCCATGGCTGGCACCAGAGACCAGGTGCGTTTGCATCAGCAAGGTCAATAGCAGACACCCCTTAAGCATCCCCAACACAAATGAGTCCAGGACTGTGTCGAGAGAGGTAACAACGTCTCCGCACACGGCGGAAAGGAGAACGCCGGCCTTGGGGTCACCCACGCATCTCAGTGCAAGGACAGGGGGAGTCTGGGGGACCCGAGGGGCCTCCTTGGGAGCAACAGCTGATCGGTGACGTCCTGCGGGAGGTCACAGCAGAAAACAACAGCCTGCACAGGGCTGGGACCCCAGGCCCAGCCTCCCTCCCGGGAGGGGAGAAAGTGCCCCCTCCCCCAGAGCCTGCAGGAGATTCGGGAGGGCAAATCCCTGGGGTCAGTGGGAGGAGGGACTAAGTCAAGTCTGGGTGGCACAAGGCAGCAGCTCTGACAGCCCGGTCACTGGTGATGGCCTCCTAGCCGGGCACCGTCTTGGGGGAGGAAGCTCTGAGGGGGATCCTGCAATAGAGCCAACACCACCTGGGTAGAGGACCTCCCAAGTGCGCCAGCCTCTCCAGCAGTGATGTCCCTCAGAGGGGACTTTCCAGGGTGACCTGTCCAGCCTCCTCCTGACGTCACACCAGAGAGAACCATTCCAAGAGCAGGTAGAGTCCGGGGGTGACGCTGCAGAAGTGGGGGGCAGGGATGGGGGGGCTCATCTTGGAGATGTCCCTGGAGCAGGTGGCCACCTCTGGTGATGACAAGGGGAAGAGGCACAGTCCCTTCATGACGTCACAAGGCAAGGCACCTTCTCCAGCGCCTTCGATGGCGTCACAGAAAGGATGTGCCCGCCCGCAGGGGGCACAGATGGGCAAGGCATTCCCGATGGCTTTGTCGGTAGCAGTGACGTCATGGGGCAGAGGCACCTCCTCGGTCGCGGAGACACAAGGAGAAAATCGGTTCCCTGCGGCGGGGGGGGAAAAAAAAAAAAGCCGAAAAAGGAAAACGAAAAACGAGTTCCTGTGGCTCGAGGGGATGTCCTCAGGGCCAGGCTTGTCTGCGCAGGGACATCACAGGAAGAATCTGTCTCTGGCGATGACCTCACAGGGCAAAGCATTGCCGCTGCCATGACATCACAGGGGGGGAGTCTGGGTGCTGACGCCACAGAACACAAGACATTTTCTCTAGCAATGAGCTCACGGCGGAGGGGGAGGGGCACGCTTCCTCTGTGATGACGTCATGGGAAGGCGGCCAGACCCGGAAGGAAGGATGCGTTGCTAGAAGGCCGGCCGGATCTCTGTCGCCACACTGGTCCCAGCAAAGTCCCCAGCTGCAGCTCCGCCCTCGAGGAGGGACCCAGGCCCCTGGCTGGGAGAGCCTGTGTTGGGGGATCCCGGCTGGGCTGGGGGGGTGTCCCCGGCCTCAGACTGTCACCTCGTTCTTGCTGGCGGTACGCAAGTGCTGCGGCAGGTGGTGGCCGGGGATGAACTGCAGCTGCTCCAGGGTGCCCTGGCGCTGGAAGGGGGGCCTGCGCGCCAGCGTGCCGCCGCCGCCGCCCGCGTCCGCCAGCCAGGTGGGCTGCGGCGAGCCGTGCAGGCCGTGGTGGTGGTGGGCGTGCAGGCCCGGCGGGGGCTGCAGCCCGTGCAGCGGCGTCGGGGGGCCCCCGGGGCCCAGCAGCAGGGTGGAGTGCGAGGCGGCCAGGCCGGCGCGCGCCGCGGGCTCGGGCGGCAGCGCGGGGCTGCGCGGCGGCGACAGCAGGTGCTCGCGGCTCTGGCGCAGGGCGTCGGGCGAGGACAGCACCAGGTGCTCCTGCGACACCAGGCGCGCGCGCGGCAGCGTGAACTCGTAGCGCGAGGCGCGGCCGCCGTCGCCCAGCAGGTGCTCCTGGGACATGACGCGCCGCGGGTGGGGCGCGGGCGCCAGGCTCAGCTCCTCCGGGCCCGCCCAGGCGTCCAGGCGGTAGCCGCCGCCGGTGCCGGGCCTGCGCAGCGCGTGCAGGGGCAGCGTCCCGCGGGGCATCTCCGCCAGGTGCGAGCGCTTCAGGTACGCCTCGTCTAGGTCTTTCTCTGCTGCGGCGAGGGGAAGGAAGCGTCGGACGTGGGACCCCACTTCGCCGCAGGGACCCTTGCCCCTACAGTCCCCCACCTGCTGCCCGGAAACCCCTACTCCACCCCCACCCCCCACCCCCCGCGTCCCAGGAACCACTCCCCCGTCGTCCCCTCCCGCCCTCCCAGAGGATCTCAAGCCTCAAGTCCCTGGTCATTCTGGGGGAGGGGCGGTCAACAGAAGAACCTGTCCCAAGCCATCTCATGGGGCTGTGAGTTCCAAGAGCCTGTCAATGGGGTGGACACCCGGCCCCATGAGATGGCTGGGAGATGAAGGGGCCGGGTCCGAGGGAGGTTGGGAGCGCCTGGATCCCACCTTACCTCAAACTAGTTCCCTGTGGGCTTCATTATAGGGAACTAAGATACCCGCCCACCTTTTTCTCTTTCTTTCTTTCTTTCTTTTTTGGCGAGAATTGCAAATCGTGGGGGTGGAAATAGGATCAATAGATACAGGACTTTTTCGGGGATATTTTTTGTCTGTTTGGATACACCTGGTTGGTATTGCGTTCTTTTTTCACTTTTATTTTGACAAATTGAAGGGATGTCACCCTCCACCCCCACTGCCCTTGAAAACATGCGTTCACGTCCCCCCTCTGTGTCCCCACCGTGGGGTCCTTCTCAGGCTGTCTTAACTGTCAGCCTTCTTGGACGGCTGGGTGGTGGGAAGCCAAAAAGCAAAAACAATAACAAAAACGAAACAAAAAAAAAACAAAACAAAACCAAAACGAACCCCCCTCCAGTGCCGTCGAGACAATTCTAGCTGGTGATGGCCCTGATAGGACGGGGCAGAACTGCCCCTGTGGGTTTGCAAGACTAAATCGTTATGGGAGTAGAGAGTCTCATCTTTCTCCAGGGGAGAAGTTGGTTTCAAACCGCTGACCTTGTGGTGAGCCCACTACGCCCCCACCAGGTCTCCTTCATGGTGTAAACGCAAAAAGCCAATAAATGGATAGATAATAAATAATAAATATATAATAAATAAATGAATGCATAAATGAATAAATAAAACAAAAGAACTCACTGCCCTGGAATCGATACCGAGTCAAGGAGCAGAGCGGCTGATTTCGAACTGCTGACCTTGCAGTTAGCCCAACACATCACCCACGACCACACCAGCAGGGCTCCTTTGGTGTGGCGCACACAGAACTTTCCCATGCAAGTTCCTGCGGCTCCCTTGACTGCTGTGAACTGGGACCAAACAATCCCGCCAGGTCGGTGGGTGGGTAAGGTAGGCCTGGGGTAGGGACAGGGCTTTGCATTTTTAATGACTCCCTCCCACCCCCAGCCCCTACTACCAAGTAATTCTGACCATACCTGGAGACCGTACCAGGGGATGGGCTGTGGGGTACAGCCTCGCACCCCCTCCCGGGACTTACCCAGCCTTTTCAGTGAGGAGTAGCGGTTGAGCTCAGACTTGACTGCGGCCTCGTAGGACGGAGGCAGATGCGAGAGGTTGTGGAAGGACCGTGAGCAGGACAGCGTGGAGTAATGCAGCGGTGGGCTGGGTGGGGGCGCGGCTCGCCAGTCTTCGAAGAGGGGGCGGCACACGGTCAGACCAGCGCCCCCTCCTCAGGCCCACTCTTTCCTCTGCGGGGCCCTCCTCCCTCAGACCAGCTCCCCAAGCCCCCTCCCTTCACCCCAGTACACAGCGTACCCCCTCGAAGGCAGGTGTGGAAGGCCAGGGCAGTGCTGCAGGAAGAGGGTCTCTGACGGTGCCCTGCTCTGCTGGGTGTGCACCCCACACATGCTACCACCAGCCCAGGATGGCGGGATTGCCCACTTTCCCGCATGCAAATGAAGCAGGACCAAGAGGACAGGGTTGTGGCCTACCCCCCTCCCCCAGCACCCAGTGGCCTGCCCTGCCCTACCCCCCAGCCATGGCTCAGCATGCATACCCAGCGTGGCAGTGGCGTGATGCTTGGGGCTGTTGAGGTTGAGGTGCAGGTAGTTGTGGTGCAGGTTCTCTGTGAGACCGAGAAGGGGGTGAGATCACCGCCCAACATCACCCATGGGCCCTGACCCCACATCCCAACCCCACAGAGCCAACAACCCATGCCTTTGGGTACACGGGGGAAACTGAGGCAGGGGCCTTGACGGAGTGGGCACTTGCAGAGAGTGGGCAAAGCTCATGGCTGGAAGTGGTGGGCGCGGTTCTATCTCTGCCATCCACATTACACCCAGGGCAGAGATCTGGAGGTCTTCTCCCTGACTCCCCCCGCCCCCACCTCTCCATCACACCCACCTGAGGCCCAGTTCCGGCCCCTCCTGCCTCCTGAATCTCTGCCCCCAGCCCATCCCCCCAACCTCATCTTCCTCCTCCAGGACTATTAACCCAGTCTCTCCCATCCCGCCCAAACCCTTCCCATTGGACGATCAAGCCAGTCTCTGCCTGCCCAGTCCCTCCACTGCCCACGACCTCCCCTAGGGCTCACAGGAAAAAGTCTCAGCTGGGAATAGCAACCAGGCCACGAACAGCCCGGTCTCCATCAGCTGACGTGTGTATGCCAAGGGGAATCTAAGGTCTGGCAGGTGGGCACGTGCGACCAGGGTGGTCTCCATAGTCATCGGTGAGAGGTCATTCAGCAAGTGAACACGAATGCTTTTACATTTCAGAGCCTCCCTGGATTGAGGAAGGGGCCCTGGATGTGGAGTGGATTCCGTGTTGGGTTGCTCACCTCAAGGTCAGCAGTTCTAACCCACCAGCCGCTCCTTGGGAGGAAAATGAGGCTTTCTCCTCCCACAAAGATTTATAGTTTTGGAAACCCACCGGCGCAGTTCTACCCTGTCCTATAGGGTTGTTATTGAACCAGAATCGACTTGATGGCAGTTGGTTTGGTTATGGGTCAAAGAGGAGACCCTGGGGATACTGTGAGCCTAAGTGCCTGGCTGCTAACTGAAAGGATGACAGTTTGAAACCACCACCTGCTCCGAGGGAGACAGATGAGGCTTTCTGTTCTCGTCAAGATGTAGAGTCTCAGAAACCCACCGGGGCAGGTCCACTCTGTCCTGGAGGGTCACTGTGTCCCCGGCAAGGCTGCACAGAGCAGGACCACACAGCCCGCCTTCTCCCACACCAGGAACCGGTGGTTTGGACTCACAGCAACCCCAAGGGACAGCAGAGAGCTGGCCCTGTGGCTTCCCCAGGCTACCAGTGTGCATGGGAGCAGACAGTCTCAGCTTTCCCTGCAGTGCGCCTGATTAGTTCGAACGGTGAGCCTTCCATTTGGTAGGCCAACGCTTCATTCACAGAACTACCAGGGTCCTCGTTAAGAAGAGACAGAAGGGGGAAACTGAGGTTGAGCTGCCCAGAGGCCACTTTCCATCAGTGTGACGGTTACATAATCGATCAACTTGAAAAGGGGTGGTGTCTAGCCTGTCAATCAGGCCATAGCCAAGAATGCCTCTGTGTGGGCATGGCCTTCTCCGGAGGATTCTGGGAACCCGTGTGGTGGGACACACACTCTCTCTGCTTTGTCTTCCTGGACACGTGGAGCTATGCTGATGGAACCAGAGCCCTGGAGGAGCCACATGGAGAGCCCTGCCAGCACTGAGATGTCTCCACTGCCACTGGATCCACAAGACTTTCAACCCACTGGCCTGTGATCTCCCTGCATTCGGCATGATTGCATGTTGCGTGAGTCTGAAGAGGAATGTACAGCCTGGTTTTGGACAGATGGGCTAATATCGGACTTATGGACTTGATCTGGACTGGGCTGGGATGTTTTCTCAATATACTATTGCTCTTTGATATCAAGCGCTTTCTTATACACATGCGTGCCGATGAAGTTGTCTCGAGTTCACCCGGACTAACACAATCAGCAAGAAGGAGGAAGGCCCGGCTGTCATCCTTGTGAAATGCATCACGTGTCCTGTGAAAGATGGACATGCCTGACCTGCCTCTTTGAGCGGATAGGATGGGAGGCCCCATCTCTAGCTGCCATTGAGTTGATTCTGGCCCACAGCCACCCTGCAGGACAGAGTAGACTGCCCCTATGGGTTTCCAAGGCTGTCAATCTTTACAGGAGCAGACAGCCTCAGCTTTCTCCCTCAGAGAGGCTGATGGACTCCCACGGCAACCTAGTGGCCAGCAGCCCCAACGGGCAACCCACCCCACCATGGAAAAAGACGGGTGTCCAGTGTTCCAATTCAAAGGGGAAAAGATTGACGTCAAGGATTTTTTCTTTGTCTTGCTTGGCTCCTCCCCACTCGATGCTCATGGAAACAGCAGTCAAGAGATCAAAAGACACACTGCTTTGGATAAGTCTGCTGCACCAGACGTCTCCAGTGTGTTTGCAAAAGCAAGGATGTTTTTCAAGGACTAAGGTGCGCCTGCCCCAAGCCATGGTATTTTCCATCGCCCCATATGCATGTGAACGTTGGCCATAGACTGAGGAAGACTGCAGAGGAATCCATGCATTTGTATGGTGGCTTTAAGTGAAGGATTTTGTAAATCACCACGGACTGCCAAAAGAAGTACAGTCAGAAAGCTTCATAGAGGCATGGGTACCAAAAGAAGTACAGTCAGAATGCTCCTTAGAGGCATGGGCACCCAAGCTTCGACTCACTCATTAGGGACAGGTCAGGAAAGACCAGTCCCGGGAGGACATTATACTTGGTCAAGTGGAAAGGCAGAGAAACAGAGGAAGGCCCTCAAGGAGATGGATGGGCACAGTGGCTGCCACCACGCGCTCAGGCCTGGGAACAATTGCGAGGATGGGGAGGAGCAGGCAGGGTTTCCTTCTGCGGTGCATGGGGTCGCTGTGGGTCGGAACGGGCTCGATAGCGCCTACCAACAACAAGCTGGTCACCCGGGGCTGCGGTTGCAGTGCCAGCCAGAGGGGCTATTTTTGTGTCTCTCTGGGTCCAGTCTTGGCCCCCTTCCCACCCCTCAATCTACACTGCTCCTGGTCCCAATGCCAATCAGGTGGCATCCTGCCTCTGACCCTTCCCTGGGCTTGGACTCTCTTCCTGCGCTCTTTGCACGGAAACCCTTCTTCACCCCTCAACATTACCAGCTCTAATGCAAGCCACCATGACCCCCTAGATGCCCCCAGGTGGTCCATGGAAGGCCAGGGAGGAGAGCTGACTCACTATGCCCACCTCCCCGGACAGCATTGGCTATGGAGGGTGGCATTGGATGGGGAAATGGTGCAGAAAAGGCGGGGTGGGGGGGTCACTGACCTAGATTAGAGGACTTCACGGTGTTGTAGAGGTTCTTGGGCGTCCTGGGTGCCATGCTGTCGGGACCCCCAGCTCCTGGGGTCAGGGAGCTGCTTCTGGTCCGGTCTGGGCGGGTCCCAGGCCCGGCCTGGTGCCTCAGAATGTCCACTAGGGCCCTGGAGGTGGCAAAAGGGCAGTCAGGGACCAGGCAGAGAGTGGCTCCTTCCTCCCTGCTCCCACCACTGGCTGAATCTGTCGGTACAAGCCCTGATCATAGTGGTAATGTTGCTGCTGCTGCTAACCACAAGGTCAGCAGTTCGAAACTAGCATTAGCTCCATGGGAGAAAGATGAGGCTTTCTACTCCCAGAAATAGTGCCACAGGGGGCAGTTCTAGCCTGTCCTAACGGGTCGTTATGAATCAGCATCTACTCGATGGTAGAGATTTTTTTTTTTTTGGTAGAGAGAGATTTTTTGTTGTTTCTTTGGTCAGTCGTACTCTGGCTTCTCACACTGGCCACGCTCTTCCCCACTGTCCACACCCCTTACTCCCACCGACCACGCCCTATGTGCCTAACCACGCCTCCTTCTTACCAGTCACCGCTCCCTTAAAGATTTACAGCCTGGCAAACCCACCTGGGGCAGCTCTACACTGTCCTACAGGGTCTCTGTGAGTCGGGACGGTGTGAGTTCAGGTTCTGGCATGGCTATGGCCACTTTCTCTGACCGCTGCCCCCACCCCGCAGCCACGCCCTCAGCCGTGGGCTCCACCTCCCTCCCTCGGGCCCTGGCCCCAGGTACCACTCTTCCCCCTCGGGCCGAGGCTGCGCTCACCTGGGCACGTTGATCTCGCGGTGCGCCCTGG